CATACTCGTTATATACTCGAATATATGCAATAGAATAAATTCTATGTCTTTAAACCTTTTTCACTGTCATCTATGGCATTAGCGGGAGATTGCATACCAACATCTAACTTCACGCCCTGCAAAAGTCAACTTTCTCACACAGGTAACGTAACTGATCTAAGCATCGATAGATGGCGCTGTTTGGAATTGTGTTAAAGATCTTAAATAACACCTAACTCTGTAAAATATTGGTATTGCCCTTTTTGCGTATTAAATAATTAGTATTTTCAGTGCGCAAATTGTAGACTAGCCTTGAAAATTTTCTTTAAAGTTATTTCGTTTAATAATTTAGTAAGAATATGTTAGATCCGTCAATCCGCACTTGATCATATCCTTTGGACTAGGGCCACATACAAGGGGCGTATTGAAGAGAGGCTCATGCCCAGAAGTGGGACATTAAAAAGGGCTCAATACATGTTAGATATTTCTAATTTCAATTTTTTTTTGTATACATGTCGCCGCTCTCTACATACTCGAGTTAGAGATAGCTGGAGTAAATGCGTGTTGGATTCGTGCACCGAGGTCTCCATATGTATGATGGTATGAATTACATATATGTTTTAGAAAATTTACAAATGAAATTGGACTATATATCGAATAGTGATTGTAACCTCTAGTGCAGCTCCCTGAATCACATGTTTTGTATGGAAGGATATAATATTCCTTTTTTTCCATAAACTGTGCAAACCTAATATATTTACCCTACAAAATTATTTTTTCCGATTTTCTATAAGAATTCGACCAGCTCATCATATCTAAAGAATATGTTCGTACCTTAGGAAAAAGACTAGTTTTAGTATCTAATAATATATATGTAGTCAATGTTAGTTTTCATTATACATTAGAAGTTAATGATTGGATAAAATAAAAATCAGTTATAATAATCATCGTCTCATTTATTAATGAATAAATTAATGGCAAATGTATATAGTTACTAGCGGCTCACCCTCGCTTCGCTCGGGTTCGTCGCTAGGTACGTTTTAAATAGATATAAAAAGAAAAAATCTTTCTTTCTCACATTTTAATTATATGTTTTAATACTTACCTATTCCGGACTAAGAGAAATCCAAAAATTAAAATATCATAAAAATTGGAACGCGGTCGAACGGGATAAAAAGTATCCTATGTCCTTCTCCTGGCTCTAAACTACCTCCCTGCCAATTTTCAGCTAAATCGGTTCAGCCGTTCTTGAGTTATAAGCGAAGTAACTAACACGACTTTCTTTTATATATATAGATTTTCGGTTACAAATTAACTTAGATTTTAGGATGTTTTTCCACAACAATGCCCGAGCGATATTGTTTGACAACTGTAACTTATAATCTGCTGTAATAGACTAAGTAAATATTTTGACTTAAAAATCCAGGATTTTGTGTTTAATATTAACTTCAGCTACTTTGTTTTCTTAATTAATACGTACGTATCTAAAATAAAAAATAAATAATGTATACATATTTATCTGGACCTAGTATTGTTACAGTTGTCAAACAAAAAATTACATGAGATAGATAGCAGTAACGTACTAAATATAATATTGAGTAGGATAAGTATATTGAAATATAAAAATTAATCTTTTCAACTTTAACTCAAATCAGATGAGTTGAACTCAAGTAGTTGAGTTTAGTTCAGTAAAGAATAATTAATTGAACGAACTCAAAAGTGTTACTAACATTTTTAGACACCAAACAATATAAAGTTTTTCAATAACTTATAACTCATTTTTTATTACACTGTTATATTTTTTTAAATAAGCAATGGTAAAGAGTGAATAATTAACATAAGAGACGCTATCAAAGTTATTTTATTAAATCCTTTAGGATATTATTGTAAATTATTCAATTATATTCTATTACAGTACAAATAGTAATTGATTTAGACTTCATACATTAAATTGATATTTTCAAATGAAAAGAATCTCCTATAAATCCGTCACTTAGTCCATTTTCTTTTTTACATACTGAATAATTTAATTTTAGAATAGCTGGTTCCAGCACATTCAAACGAAAGCCCGAATAATAACATATTTATATATTATTATTATTCTTACAAACATCAACAGGCTAATTCTAATGTAACTTCATATAAATATGTTTACTAAGGCAGCGTTTTAACAAGTGAATACAATAATAGCTCGCGTTTTTTTTATAATATTTCGCAATATAATATTATTTGATATTCCCAGACATTTACTCGAGTATTTTCTCCATTTAGAGTTAAGCTGACTCCGGTAAAGAAGAAATTTTAACGACTTAGCATTAATTCAAATGATCTTTTTTGAACTATTTTCATTGTTTGATGGATAATTTGCTTGTATATTAAAACTAAATCTAAGTTCACGATTCTTATAACAGAGATTCTGGATATTTTTACTTTTAAGCTATTATTGTCTGCACTTTGCAAGCCATTTGAAGGTATCAAAGCATTTAACAGCTTTTGACCGAAACCTTCATTCCAAAATATAATTTCGATACTCGCAACAATTACAATATGTTCAATGCACCATACATCACATAAAGGATTTCTTTTTATTTAAATATCAAAGCAATACCAGTTCTAATATAATTTTCATTTCATTTCGCATTTTTAAGAAGAAATCTTTATGTTTTATTTGGTCTACGAAGTTTTTAGTTTTAGTTGAAATCAGACCAAGGGTTAGGCTGAAAGACAATATTTCTTAGACTCAGTCCCTTGTGTATATTAAATAAAAATAATTTATTACTATTTTAATAGATTATAGAAGATGCAAACAGCACTGTGGTCGATACAACTATTTATATCATGAATTATATTTGAAAAAAAACATCTCTTGTATACTCCTTAAATATTTTTGCAATTGCTTATTGATTAAATGTCTACGTATTAAAAAATTAAAACAAAGTTTGAAAATTTAATACATAAGTTAAAGTCATTTGAAGCGAATTTAAAATCAAAATGTACGACTAGAAATATCTGAAAAAAAAAATAATATCGCAATTCCTAAACTATATTATGACACAAACTACACTTTATACACATTTATTTATACATAATTACACTCCCTAAGTTATATTTATCACAATATTTATAAAACCTATTTTTAACAGTAACGTACAATAATTTAGTGACTTCGCAACGACTAAATGTAATCTATTGTTCGACATATTTCCATATTAAAATCAATGAATTATTCAAAATTTTTGACATTTAGATATTTTATTTTATATTAAATTCATATTTTTTTTATTTTGGGCTCAATCTTAAAAAATCTCTACCGGTAGAATAGTGGTGTGATTGATAATTGTGGTGATAATTCAATTCAATCGTCATATTCATAATATTAAAGGAATCTATACATATCAATACTAATATTAATAAGAGGCAGAGTTTGTTTGTTTGAACACGCTAAGCTCAGGAACTACTAATTCGATTTAAAAAAATATTTTTGCATTAGATAGCCCGTTTATTGAGGAAGGCTATAGGCTATATATCACCATGCTACACCCAAGGGAGCGGAGCAGTAATCATAAATGTCAACAAATCGGGCAGACTTCCATACATTATTGTAAAACTGATGTTTATATCGGAAGTACAAGCGCGGGCGAAGCTGCGGGTACTGCTATATTAGTAATAAAAAGGATCACAAATAACTGGGTACGTATGTATATCATCAATCGTAGATTTATTACTTTTTTCACTTTCTATCTAAAACAGACACTTTGAAAGAATAAAGCCCAAAATCAATGTTTATATTTTAAGCAATATACGAACTTAATTAAAATTAAACGTATAGTACATAATAAGTCAGTAGTCTCGGTTTACAAATGCAGTGTAAAAGTCATACACTTACCCTAATTTTAAAACAATTTTAATATTATTAGTAATTTCATTCCTACGAGACACGAAGCAAAACAATTGAATTGAATTTAATTGAATTACCAGTAAGAATATTTACTGAGTTGAAAAATATTTTATTAGTAAAACTTTCTTGCGATGAACACGTCATTCTAAATTATTATTAACTGGTAAAAGCTATTAAGTTCTTGCCTTATAAATACCACACTCTCGGTTTTATTTGTTACTTTTCAGAACTTTTACATTGTTCTAGAATATGAAGTTTTGAACTATTCAATTCATGAAATGTCAAAGAATTGTGTTTTTCTTACATATGTATGTATATATTATATATTAAAAATAAGGTGGGCATGGAATATGTAAAATGAAAACTTTACGTCCACAAAATATTAAAAGGGAAAAACGAACAAGTTCAAATCTTTTAAGAAGACTGGTGATGATTTCAAAAACTTGTGTTTTTACATTTTTTACCAATGGAATATGGGAACCTAGAAAGGTTATAGGTTAATATATGGATATACTATTGACTCACCCAGACTTCGCTCGATGTAAAACAGTAGCTTGTTAATCCAGGACACAGTTTATCTTTGTACTAAACACTTACATTTGTTCATTTGTGTTAGTATGAAGGGGTAATAAGCACACAAACACACAAATATTTTGCATATTCAATAATATACTTAAACGAATTAGATAACGAAAATAAACTATCGATAAAGTTCTAAAGTATACCAAACGAAGTTAGGGTGGGTCATTAGTATTAGTTCTCGTCTGCTACCCATCTAACTGTGCATAGGGCGGCGCAGTATGTTAATAAATAGAAGTAAGTTGTATTTCATTTTTTTCAATTGTTTAAAGAGAATTGTATTCATCTTTTACAAAATACGCTCCCGATCAAAGTTATGGGGGTTCACAAATTCACCAAACGAAGCTAGGGCGGGCCACTAGTATAAGTCCTCGTTCGATACACATCAAGCTGAGCGCGGTAGGGCGGCGCTGTATGTTGATATTTAATATTAACTTGTATTTTATTTTCTCAATTGTTTCAAGTAGATCGTATTCATCTTTTAAAAAAATACACACCCGAGCAAAGCCAGGGAGGGTCACTACTGAAGCAAAGGCCAGGGCTACACGTCCTGCTGCGCGCGGTAGGGCGCGGGCGGCGGCGCGCGGCGCTCCAGCGGCTCGAGACCGGCGCGCGGGCGCGGCGGTGCGCGCGGCAGCCGCAGCGGCACCGGCAGAAGCTCAGGCATCACGCTGTGGTGCGTCACCAGTGCGCACAGCGAGCTGAACTCCTTCGTGAAGCCCTGCGGGAGACGATCGGAGTTCTGTAATTACTGTTCTCTCATTCGTACAGTCATTTAAAATAGAGATAACTCATTAATGACCATATTACCCGTGACCGCGAGTACCAACAGTGCAAAGTGCTAGAGCATCACAACAAGCCGCCGTGACGATCGAAGTGCAATGCCCCAGATACTCTTTGCCTAGGACTTGCGACGAATTATAATGGTAAGGCGAAGCTTATCACCTGCCTAAGCAATGGATACGCCATCGAAAGATATAACAATAAGGCTTAAAACTAAAACAAAACATGTGTTATATGATCGTTTGACAAATGAATATACACGATATAAACAAGAACGGCAAGAACGGGAGAAACTGCAAAGAAGACTTAAAAATTCAAATAGAAATTCTTAAGTAGCAGCTAAAATGCGTTGTTGAAACAAAAACTAAGACTCCATCTTCGTCAAATATGGAGACCTGTTCTTAACCTGCTGAATATGACACTGATGAGGAAGAACTCGCTAAAGAACCAAAGTGAATCAGAACAAAGGCAAGGAAAAAAAAGGAAAATGCACGTCGCTCACACTCTCACCTCAAAATAAGGAAGAAATGATAAAAAAAACAAACCCATTTTACAAAACAATCACACATTTGATGACATATTTGGCTCTGTTCGTAGTTACCCTACTTGCTGTGCCAGCGATCGTGGGTTTGAGTCCCGCTGGGGTCATTCATCTGTGTGATGAGCACGAATGTTTGTACTCCAGTCATGGGTGTTTATATTTACAATTTGTATGTATTTAAAGTTATATATGTGTAGTGTATCAAGCTTACCATGGATGATGGAAATGACGCTTGATGCGAAGCTACGCTGGAAAGCTCACATTAAAAAGAAAAAAGATAAATTGGAATTCCGGTACAAAAAGATGTATTGACTATTGGGAAGACATTCCACTCTGTCCGTACACAACAAAATATTATTATATAACTAGTCCTGATGCCAGTGCGGACCTATGGTATACAGTTGTGGGGCTGTACCAAAAAGAATAATGTTCTTATCATCCAACGATTCCAAATTAAAGTTTTCAGGGGAATAGTTAATTCACGCTGGTACGTAAGAAACAATGATCTTCATCGGGGCCTCAATAAATCCTTTGTTTTATCTATATAGCGATCCGCGCGCACTCACCTTAATCTTGTACCCCTTGGGCGTGCGCAGGATGAGGTAGTGCGCGATGCCGTGCGGCGCGAAGTCGCGCGGCACGCGGAGCGACAGCGCCAGGCAGCCCGCCTGCGTCGTGCTCGCGCGCACCAGGAACGCGCCCGGCGCCTGCGCGCCCAGCACCTCCAGCGCAATCTGGACATGGTAGGTCACAATCAGTCTGCCCTGATCACGATTTTACTTTGAGTTGGGAAATGCATTTTAATTAAATTTTCATTTCCAAATTTTTCGCGAATTCATTTTAATCTTTGGATCCCGACGTTTCGAATGCTTTACAGCAATCATGGTCGCGGGAGAGACCAGACAGAGTTTTAGATGTTTCAAATATATATATACATATAATAAAATTCTGAGTCGAAACTGTACATTAAATATCTTTTGTAAAATCTTAATGAAATAGACATTATTATCGATACAGAGGCCCAATCTATAGTTTTTAGATTTTTTTTACCTTTTTGATTTTGATGAAATTTGGTATGTTCATAGCTGGTTATCCGGGTCAACATATAGGATACTTTTTACCGCGAGAAAATACCTAATTTCTGATAAAAAATACAAAAATTGCAATGTAAAAGTATACTAATATGTAAAACCTAAGAATTTGGTTTTTAGTCATCTGAACGCGGGCCGAACCGCGGGCAATGCTAGTACATTATATAGTTATAACATACACATTTTTTTATCCAAATAAACCCGCGAAAAAATCCGAAAAGATAGTTTTATTTAAAATATCAATTATTCGCGTAATTCTAAGAAACTATTTTAGAAAATGCATTTATGCATACCGCCTGTATACATACAGGTGATGATATGGGACTCACTCCCAGTAAAACCATTAAAACCAACAGATCCTCCTCCGTTTTAATAAAGCGTCGTAGGATATCATAGCATTCTAAGAATACCCATCGAAGTACGTTTCTGACATAAATTAGATATTATAAAAATTATGCCATCATATTATTATTAAATTCAATCAAAGGCTATTTGTATCATATTTAAATTCGTCCTTTCTGTTCTTTATAATAATAATGGTAGCTTTTTATGTTTCCAAAGAATTGACAGTGTCCTATATTATTGTTCGTCATATCTTTTATTCGCAACCCAGTCATAAGTTTCATTAATTTTGGTTCGACCTTCCCGAAGAAATCAGTTCTTGTTTCTGATTGACTCTTAGAAAGTGTATATTGTACAATATTTATGAATAGAATGCTTGCAATGGAATTATTAGTTACCTCTCTAGGTATGCCCTGCTGGAACCAAGGCGCTTGTCTTAGTTCAGGCTCAAGGGGTCGCAAGTTGTTGTTCCCGGACGTGCGAGACGCCCCGCAGGAAGACTCGCCCGAAGACGAGGATGTGGCCGCACTACCCGTGCTTGGTCTACTGAAAACGAAATGAGTAATTCTGTAATTTCAGTTAAAAAAACTTGATAGTTCAAGAGCTTTTTGTATTATATTTAGGCAGCTGAAGACAAAGCCTGAATAGTTTGAATCTTTGTTAATATGCAGTGTAAAATGTTTAAACATTAAGTTTACTATAATATAGCGTAATATAGTATAGGATAGTATAGCATTAAACCACGGTAATGTTATTCTTGCTAATATTATAAAAACGAACATATGTTTGTTTTTCATGCAGGGCATTTTGTTTTAGTATTTTAATATCCTTAATACTCTTTTATCAGTTTGATTTTCTTTTCCTGAGATAGAGATTAGTTTATTCTGTTTATTATCACTTACCCATTACTAATGTTATTGCATTTCATAAAGTCGTTTTCGTCACAAGAGAGCATGTCTCTCACACGATTGCTCTCGCGCGTGCGCGCTTCCGCCTCGGACGCTTCATTAATGTACCCGCCGTTGAGACAAAGCGGGACATTTGTAGGGCTGGAATTTTATAATTACTTATAAGTTTCAAGACAAAACTACGCAGTGGTAGCGCATTAGCTTGGAAAGATTTGTAAACCGAATTGAAGAACTTTGAGGATAAGCGAATATTTTTAAAATGATTGTTTATATCTTAATAATAAAGTAAAAGAAAAATAAATGGTTTTGGCGTTCCAGCGTGGTGGAATATAACCCAATTCCCCTCGCATTAAGGAGAAGTTCGTGGCGAGCAGTGTAAATTTTAATGCAGAAACGTTTACAAATCAGAAATATTAAAAAGTCAAAAAAAATCAAGAGCACTTTTAATTCCTTATACCAGGTCTCATATAATGATAAACCCTCTAGCCCGACTTAGAACTCAAGCACGAGATTCATTATCAGCACTCAGGCTTTCTACATCAATAAATCAGTTAAAAAATTAATATATAATTATACTCACGTAGTGGGAGTGTCTGTGACGAGCGGGGTCGCGTCATCATCAGAGGGTTGAAGCAAAGCTCCACTAAGGCCTAACGCCAGGCGTTTCATCAGAGGAGGCCTTTCCATCTTCTCTAACCTCTCCCCAAGTCGCCTGTAACAGCTGAGTTCTGTAGGCGAGTTCCAGTCTTCGGAAGAGGTGGGACTCGCCTCGCTCGCTTCGCTTGGCTCGCTTGTTTCGTTTGTACCACCCATTATGTCGCATTGTGATGGGGATCTGTAATGTTGAATTATTCAATTTATTTTTCGGTTTGATTATATATTTGGAGAGAGTAAGGCAAAAGATGTGAATAAGAACAATATATAAGTAAACTAGCATTTTATCGCAAATCTTCGCTATATAAAAGTGTGTTTTTTTAAACATTGTCCTTAGCAAAAACATCTTGATTCTAAAATGATGAAAGAAAATATAATGTATTTCCTTTCGGAGAACAATTAAGTATTTTCCTTTATATCTAGCAAAAAATTTCGTGGGTAGTTCAGTTAGTATTAAGTAATATTATAATAATTATGAATACGAATTTTTGTTATCTTTATATCTTAATGCCTAAATTGCGATGTTGTGAAAGTTACAGATTACATATTTTACTTGTTCATTGATTTAAGGATACTTTCATAAATAGTTTGGGATACCCAAATATCCGATATTAATGTCAATTACAATTACAGTTTGATCTTTTCCTTTCTTTTTAAATTGAATGCATGATATCTTGCAAGGCAGCGGTAGCTCTGTGGTAACGCGCTCGCTTGGGAAACCAAGTGAAACGGGTCAAATCCCGGGTCTCGCATCTATGATATCTTGTGTAAATCATTTCCAACATGATTACCACTTATCTTACGGTGAAGGAAAAGATATTGCAGAAACCTGCATGTCTGAGGGAACCTAGCATGTTTTCGAAAGAATGTGAAGTCCGCCAACCAGCACTTGGCCAGCGTAGTGAACTATGGCCTGATCCCTCTCATATTGACGGGAGGCCAGTGCCCAACAGTGTGACGTACATACATATATATTATTTCTAACCTGTCCAAGCAATGTGGGTAGTGATGCGTCAGTCCAGGGAGAGTATCTGGAGCGCGCGTACAAGCACCGCTTAACTCTTTGCTCTGCAATTGAAACAACATTAATTTTAATACGTTTATACTAAAATTATAAAACTGCGCACCTTCAACTATATCATTAATTTGTATTTGACTGATATCTCTAAACAGATATATAACAATGGAAATTGTATTTGAACTTTCATAAAGTTACTGAAGTTCTCTGAAGTCTGGTCATTTCTTTTTACTACAGACTGTGGGTATGCGAAATTTTGTCATTTAGTTGATTTATAAATATGTTAGGACATTAACACACAACACCATTCAGTTCCATGGTAAGCTACAAGGTTTGTGTTATAGGTACCAGGTAGTTGATACACTACACGTCATATATAACTTTAAATATATACATAATATTATAAATATACCCATCACTGGAGTACAAACGTTCGTGCTCATCACACTAGTGAATGCTCCCAGCGGGACTCGAACCCGCAAACGATGGCATAGCAAGTAGGGTCACTACAAACTTATAAATATTTATTATTCAGATGTTACAAACAGCTTAGGTCTATAATTATAATACCAAAATAAAATGCTTTGAGCATTTTACATTTTAGTAAATTATAAAACAAGTATTATTTGATAACTTCCATTTCTACAATAACAGAAACATGCAACGTTCATAAAATCCTATTAAATAACGTCGATGTTTCTATACGTAATGCCTACGCTTATTCATAAAGACCTTTAATTGTACCTATAAATTAAAACAATACTATAAACTTCTAAAACATACCTAAATGCGTAATATTAGAGTTACATTTCTATTTCCTTTGATATAAATTATGTTTAGAGAAAATACAACGTATTTTATCGCGCTTCCCGTCGTAAACTGAAAACGCTTTGGAATGCAAGCTTTTCTTAATACTTCGTAATATTTGTGACAAGTGCCCATTTGTATCTTGTATTTCTGAGAAATTATTTTAGATCTGCGATCTTAGTGAGTTCGATTCTCGCGTAACTTAATATTACTTTCTGCTGCTAAAAGATATATTTGTAACATAAATTATTAATGATGTAAAGTAAAACTATTGAGGTTCAGCAATTCCTCCTTTATTTAATTACTTCTACAGAATGTCCTACAAAATCAAAAATGGCTATTACAACTATTAAAGCATTATGTCCCCACCGTTGGGCGTAATGTGGCGCCATCTATCTTACAAAGATTACACATTACCCCACAGTGGATGACAATACTCTTAAAATATTAATATTTCAAAATATAACAAACTCATACTATATTAATATTATAAAATAGTAAATTATAAAATATAAATGATCAATATCAAATTAATATTACAAATCGTAAATAATTATTTTTCTAAGCCCCAACTTCTTTAAAATCACGTTAAAATTATTTCAATGGAGATTATTCATTACAAAAAATCGAGTATGATGAAATCGCAGATAGAAATTTCGTATTAACAATTTCCTTAAAGTAAAAAAAATCTTGAGCTTGAAAATCTCATATTTATTTGCTTGAATATAAGCAACTCTCATTTTTGTTGCACTAAAACCATCTAAAGAACGTTAAACATATGTACCTATGTATGTGCAAGTACAAAAAGTTCATAATATCTCATTAATATTCCCAAAATTAACTCCTACAAACAAACTTACATACCTACTTAATAGATTATACGTATAAGTTAGAGTATTTATGAATTGCTTAATAGACGCATGTCCGCTTCCGAGCGTAGCCGCGCTATAAATCAGTCTCACATTCCGGCGTCGGAATGCAAACCGACGACCTGTCCTATATAGACCACAGACAATATCATCGAATCAATACTTCAGGTAGTGAAGCGAAAATCATGGGAAATTGCCCCTTATTAGCTAGTAATACGGGTCAAATATGAAATATGAACATTATGCACCGTGTTTAAAATTTAATGACGTTTATCTATAGTTATAAAACCTCATTGTATGGCTGTTTAATGTAAGATTTCGATAAACATAAAATAAGTACGCATGTACATATATTATATACTAATATCTTGAGGTACCTAAGCAGAGAAATTAGCTTAGAAGCTGTAGTGTGACATGGACAATTTTTGACCAATAACAAAAGATATCCTCTATACTCAATCCGGCTGTATGTTTTTTTCTTATCTTTATATATATAATAATAATCTGGGTTGAATCTGAAAATTAAATATTTTTTTGGAAAATCTTATTGAAATAGTCAAAATTACCAATACAGAAGGCTAATCGATAAGTTTCGTCTGTTTGTCTGTCTGGGAACGCATTACGAGAAAACCACTCCATCAATTTTGATGAAATTTGGTATAATGATAGCTGGTTATCCAGGTCAACATATACTTTTTACTGCGAGAAAATATCTCTGAGAAATCTAAACTAACCGTTAAAATGTATCTAGGGACGGACCCAAGCAGAGCCAGGGTGAATCGTTAGTATATCTATATATATCTTCACCTATTATTAGAATTGGATTTTCTTATTTTTTTTAATGAAGACTTTATACCTCAAGGGTAGGTAAGCCATATGAATTTAAAAAAAACTACTGTACTTCCGAGGATACTTTTTAGTAATTTTGAAGTCAAGATTGCAAATATGTATATAAATACTATAATTGCAAATATGTATATATCATAAGCATGGTTAATTCGTTCATGATTATAAGCTAACAGATTTAATGAACTGATATAAAAAAAAAATGTTTTTGAGAGAAATGCAACATTCCATTGATATTTTTCAAAAATTTTAATAATTTTACTCATAATGTTAATTTGAAAATTGTCTTCTAAAAGAAACTTTAAGTACAACAAGTTAAGGTTCAAAAACGTTTTCTTCTAAATTCTGGTTGTGTCGCGTGACAGAATTCATTTAAAATAATATCCGGCGAGGCAGACAAATCGTTGAGTTTTGTTTTTGTTCATACGAACTTCGTAAACCCACCATTTAATACTTTCATATGTGCTCGGGGAAAGGTTTTGTGAAATTAAAGGACTAAATATTTATGTAACTTAACAAGAAATTTTTAATAGTATTTATTTGATTATAAGCACGGGAAAGAATATATTATTATAATCAAACATTTTTTTTGTCACAGATTATATATTGTTTAACAGAAACCATAATCCATACTTAATATTTATAAATGTGAAAGTGTGATTGTTTATTTGTCCTTCTTTCACGTTGGAACAAAGTGACGGATTGGCGTGATTTTTTTTGTGTGTGGAGATAGTTGGAGATATTATCTCAGTCCCAGAGGAAAACCCTTATAATACAACCCACAACAACTCATCACATCTATATATATGTATATATATAGTCTATCTATGCCATACTAATCGTTCAAGCGTACCTAGGGACGAATCCGAGCAGAGCGTGGGTAAGTCGCTAGTCTGTTATAATTTAAAATGTTCTACGAAAATATTTTTTCAATTTTTTTTTGTTTAAAAATATTTATTTAAAATGTATTTTCGCAACAGGATCTCAAGGGTACAGGGTCATCAATCACTGGACAAAAAACAAGTCGCGACAGTCGGCTTTAATCGAAATCAACAAAAAAGCGTGGTAGGTTTGCTCATTGCTGGTGCCGACTGGTCGATAACTTTCCACTAAATCGGTTAAACCAATAGCACAATTTATATTGTTATGTTTTTAATATTTTATGTTAAACTCAAAAAAAATTGAGTAATGAAATATTTTTCCAAAAAATACCAAAAAACACTTCATTAAAAAAAAACTCATCAAAGATTCCATTAAAAAAAGATTTCGTTTTAAAAATATGTCATAAAAAGAGATTTCGTGAAGTCGTGTATAGTTTCATTTAATTTAAAAATATATCATGGAGCGTTCAAGTAAAATTCCATAGACAAAAGATGGTTGCGACCGAAATCACGATCGCAACCTATTTGACCAACTACATATTTGTATAATCGCGGTCTCGCGTTAGCCGCGTAGTTCAGTTACAATTTAATTTCTACCAATTAGCGTTTATTACTTTATGTGAATCAAACATTCTTGTGACTTGTTATTCTTTTCTAACAAGTTATCTGTTTATCTATACGTATAATAAAATTGTAACTAAGCCGAATTTAAGGTACGCTAAATATTATTTTTTTGAGTTTAAACCGTTTAAAACGTACGTAAAACGCAATGCAGAGTGAGCTGGAGACCCTTGGGGCGAGGCAGTGCATGTAAAATATTTAACCGCCTACAGTTTAGAGGGGTAGATTGTGATATCTACGACTACTCATAACCTTTATTTGATTACTGAGGTAATACGAGGAGATAATACTGTAAATTTATTTTGTTGGAAAATGACAAAAAATATTTTTCTTATTCCATGTGAAATTGGAATACCTACTTTGATTATGGGTTTCTTTGTTTAAATAACTCGTAGTAGTTTTTTTAAATAAAATGTTTTTATCAAAAAAAAAAATGATAAAAATAAAAAATTATATGTATGTTTGCTAGCATTGTTTACACTCTTACTTGTTGTCTCTATCAATGATACTCGTATCTATTATAATTTAAATTAAAATTAAAATGATTATATTTTTGTTTCAAATGTCATGGCTTAAGTACATCGTTTGTATTTGAATATTCTTACTTTACTTACAAAATTTATTAATACTTTCAAAATTTTTCATTTGATTGGAATCTTGAATTAAACCTGGAATACACAATTGTGTAGACTAATTGGTGTTAGTAATAACCTATTCTATATACACAAAGTATATAGTATACCCATACTAGAAAATAAAGTTAATTAAAACGTTTACTTGAGGTTCTGATAACAAAGAAGCAAAATGCCATGTTAATAAGATACATTTTAAAGAAGAAATTTCATCATATTGAAATATTAGAAGGTGAAGGTAAATCAATTAGGGATCTATTAATAATTTTAATAATAGGATGTGTTTTTCGTATGGATTTAAATAAATTTATCATTAGTTATGATGGAACTGAAAATAAATGTTTTAATTCTTATACTAGTAAAATAATTATACTTTGACAGTGTCGTTAAATGA